CAATGTATTATGGAACATTTTCATGCCTAAATGACAGGTGACAGTGGTGGAGTAGCTGTCTCAGGTGTGCTTTGGACCCTATGGTTCGAGTCCCGCCGCCGCCACCCGAACTTTGCTGTCGTCCGTTTCAATACCACAACTAACCTATCAGAGCCTTGTGTGGTTCACCACTACAAGTCCCGGGGCTTAGGTTACCGGTTTCCATCACTGAACAACAGGTTCTCGTGACTATGGGGCTTTCTCCGTCTGCTGTTCATCACACACTGGTGTGTAATAAAAAGATTAAAAACAACCAGTAGCAACAGAAATGGATTATCCCATTGATGAAAGGAGTGGAACTGGGGAAAACGAGTGCTCACCGTGTTACATCATAGACAAGTAAAGCGCCAGCTGCTCCACGATAGTAGGACCGAGTGATGGAACGGAAAGACTCTTGTCCGGCCTGAATAGAGAATGGAGATAAGAGATAAAGGGAGGAATTGACATAAAAAAGATATTTACGGAGCAAAACGCTATATTCTTGGTTCCGTGAGTGTTTCACAGAACAAACTATGGAGCTTAACAATTGATTCACCGGTGGCTACGCCGGATATACACTTCGCACAAAAGAAAATTATGAGGACACTCAAACTTTAGAATCCAGTTTGAGCAATGAGCACACAACAAAATTCATCTCTTAAACAGCGCTCGCCGAGGCTAAGATCAATCGGAAAGTTTGAAACTAGTAGAACTGGATGAAAAAATAAAAATATTCTTGATGAAGGATGTGGCAACAATTTGTGAATAGTTCTTGAAGCTTGGTTGAGCACAATGGTCCGTTACTTTTGAGCTAAAGTTTTCCTACATCACCTTATTACAAATTGCGATGGGCACGTTTGCCTCCGAAAGCCTCTGTATGACAGGGGTTGGGTGTCTGGGGTTGCGGCTGATCAACCTTCCCTAGCACCTCGCGAAACGCTCCCATACGACCAAGCGTCTCGAATAGCCTCTACTGAGGAAGCCCTACTCACTGCCTTCTCGTGGTGGAGATGTTGTCCACCAAAGTGAGAGGACGAAAAGCCGACATCCGCGGCTACAACCCGGTTGGTGAACCACCGGCAGTTCATTCAATGGAGTTGGCCAAAAATCCTAATCCAAACCAACCAAGAAGAGGCGTACGAACCACACTCAACCACATCCTACTCAGTGTGGCAGTGTCCACCGGCTCGATTGGTGATCAAAGTGTATTGGGCACCTTGGACGTTTGATTCCCGTCCGAAGGGCATATGATTCGATGAACCGGACACCGGCCCCCCCTATGGAGTACGGTTCCCGAACACCGCCCCACTGCGTTGCGGGTCAGGCTTTGCCTAGCCAAAGGCTCCGATTGTGGATTGTCCAAGAAAATTCACATGCCTTGGCCTGGGCGACCTGGCAGTATTCAGCCCACTTGCAAATCGTGGAGCGTTTTTTTTTATAAAGATTATTGTACCACTATTTGTTTGGCACACAGTCTGGCATTAGACGTGGGTAAAATATATATATATACCTTTGTTCATTTGGCCTACTCGGATCATATTAGCAGGGTCGAGGTGAGTGCTTTGGGTTGTGACTGATCACTCTTCTCTTGTACCTCGTGTAATGCTCCTATACAACAAAACGTCTCAAACAACCGATGGTCAGAAAGCTGTACTCATGGTCATCACGTGACGAAGTTCTCCCACTAAGGTGAGAGGATCAAAAGCCAGCATAAGGAGTCATAATTGAGTCGGAGAGGCACGACTGGCAGTTAACCTTCGGGAGTTGACTAAAAATTTTGTACTTGTACCCGGAAAGTGTATTTTCGTCACTATCACCTTGTTTGCAACACCGAGTGATTTTTTAATAGACAGCTGTTTCACAGCCAGTCCATTAAAGAATCAATGCTATGATTCAATGTTTTTTTAAATGGGTTAGATGTTACTAACCGTAACCAACCACTTGATCGTCTTGATAGAATATTTCATAATAAGTAGTATGAGAATGATTTGACAAAATTATATTATTATATTATAGATTATTGTATCATATGTCATATATACATAGAGACAGAGACAGCTTAGCGGAAATCCAAACCACGGCGCTTCGATACCGTCCACTGACTAACATTTTTCAGCGGCTCACAATCGCAAAGGGATCGGGGATACAACAGTGCATATCATCATTATCATCACCATCATCGTACACCGAAATACAGTGAGGTGAACTTCACTGATCACTGCCAAACTCGCAATGCATACAACGTTAGTGGTAAAATTTAAGGTGGACAGGGATTGGA